CTATGTTTGGTACTCGTGTCATACAAGTTGAACTGGCTATCAGTGAATATTTCATATATTTTGTGAATCAATATAAATTGAATACTTCTTCAAGATGGTTGAATTAGAGTACAGACATCGCAGGCAGCTGTGCAGATGGAGGAGTTTGTAGAGAAATATCAGATCACGGATTTTAAAAATAAGGATGAGACTTTTCAAATTAAGGTATTGGCTAACTGTGCACTAATGTATATCAGCACATGGTGGGTGATGAGTAAATGGACTTGAGATATCAATGGCCTCAAATTTACAGAGGATAGAAGCTGGCCAGTTCATTAGAAAAAACTCATAGCTGGAGGTCACAACAACATGGAATATGATTACAACAATAAATGCAAGTCACAAAGCCAGGCAATGTTATGAATTTGAAAATGAATAGCCTTAGTGCAGACAGGTATGTCATGTCACTGTGGATCTAAACAGAATAGAAGGTTGGAGTGTGCTACATTCTCTGCTCATGATGTTTTTGTGAGGCACAAAGCTAAACAAAATTGAGCTAAGGATTAAAGTGAATGTAATGATGTTCAACATAAGAGATGAAAGCTTTTCTAAATGAGAGAGCATTCCTGTTCACTGCTTACATCTTTTCTCTAACAACGTGTTAGACAACAATAAGCTTTCCTTTATAGTGAGGTATCAGGCCTGATGCAAGCACAGATGAAAAAAACCCATACTCACTATTTTCACTCAATGTCTTCATAGTTGACCAAGTACTACTTCTTGGGAAAAAGAAATTCAAAATCTATCCCAGTGCCACATAATTAAAGAAAGCATTTTAAAGATTTCTCTTGGCAAGGTGACAATGCTTTGATACACCAGACACAACATATTTGAATATGATGATAATGGCGGAATTGTTATACATTAAAAATAAATGTTGCCGTAGTCCTACTGGACTATAGGGCTACTCTTTTGTTAGAGAGGGATGATCGGTGATGGTTTAACCTCAGGATCGCCATACCTCAGGTGAGGGGAGAGGTTGAGAAGGAGACTCCATCCTGATAACCTCAGCCAGTGTGAGAATTGAACCCAACACTGTGTTGGCATCACTCTCTGTATCGCAAACCAGCCTTCCACCTAGCTGAGCTAAGCAACCTCACTTATTGTACTTTCCAGTATACTTCAAGTCCACAAACAATTTTCAGTTGATATATTTTCCATTTCATAGTGGAAAAGCTTCAGTTTAATATTATCTTTTTTGAGGGCATGTGAAAAGCTCTGCTGTTAGTTTCGTACCCAGTGGGTGTTTTATGGTTCCGATGGCTAGTTGGGCGAGACACCTTCTGATTGTCCCTGTTGTTGTTGCAGTCTACAAATATTGTTGCTTCTGCCTCTCTCTATTTGGAAAATTTGGCTATTTTATGTTTATTTAAATATTAAAAATGCCTCATCAGATAAGAAAACAGCTGGCTTAATATAAGTTAGACTTTGGAATGAATTTCAAAGTGTGAAACTGTGTAGGCTTTCAAGTCTCCTATGGATTATTCTTCCCTTATAGTCTCCCCCATTGAGAGCACACACAGAAAGTCCATCTGTGTAAATATAAATTTCAATGTCAAACATTGACACTACAGCTAGGGCTAATTTAGTGTACTAATTAAATAAAATATTATATTGACAAAGAGATGTAAGACTAACAACAGTCACCAGTTAATTTTCTGTTGCTTTTCATGGCATGTATGAAGGAATTTTCTTTGAAATTTCATTTGCGTTTAATAGTTTCCAAGCTACCTTGGTGGGGATAAAAAAATCAGGTTTCAGCAGTTTTCAAATTTTTCCATGATCAAAAGATTTTTTTTTGGCACTGCAGCAACACTTCCCTGGTATTAATATTGTTCTTACTATGATGTTAGATTTTATTAAAAATGAATGTTGATTCTGTAAATGTCTGAAAAAACATATAAATCTTTTGAAAAGATTAGTTGCATAAGTTCCCTACTCTCAAAGGCTGCTGTTGTATAAACTTAAATTCCAGGAAGAATCTTAAACATATATTTCCTTGACTGGCCTGAGAATCAATTTTTTGAAAGACTGAATTAGCTCATTTAGACGAGTGTGGCTATAATGGAGAATGACTGTGAATCTCATTTAGATTGCCCCTTGTGCACACAGTCAATGTCAACCGACAGCACCAAAGCTATACTCTCCTCAGTGGTGAATTTTCATGGACTGAACTGCTCTCTCTTCATTACCATTGTGTGCAATCCATGATCCATGTTGCACAATAAATGTAAAAACTAACTTGAGTCAAATGTTCCTAAAGTCTTGTTTAGTAACATTTGGGTAGCAGCAAGCTTACCTGCATTACTTCAATCAGAATATTAAATATGCAGAAGTTGACGGCTGGTATTTTAAACTGTGAATTAATCTTGTGTTGAATGAAGTTCATGGCGCCCAGTGACAGAGACTCTACTCACACGATTTCCTGCTCTTCACTTCATGAATTGTGCACACCAGTGCTTTGGCGCCTTTCTCGTGGATCACATGACAGGTGGAAGCTCTTGGCACTGTCCTTCACCCTGCTGGCACCATCTTGAAACCCCAGCTGTGCTTCACTTTCGACACTGCAAGCCAAGGACTGCCTGTCACACTGTGGTGGTGGAACATTATCACTCAGGACATGATTCAGGAAGAAAAGCTTGAAGCCTGCTTCTTGCAGAGGACTCCAGATGTGCTGATGGTGGGAAGGAGGGCTGTTCTTTCTGTTGCTGGCCATTGCAGAAGGCACACCACCAGACACAGACAGCCTTGAGAGTTGAAGTCAATGAACCTTGGTGAGAGGTGTGTTCTGTGGTAGTTAGAGTGAGTGGTGGCCCTGTGCCGTTGAGGTAGCAAAGAAAAAGTAGTAGCGGTTACCCTTGTGGAACATAGAATATCATTGACTTTCTTCCTGCATTACTGTGTGTTACATTTTACGCAGAGTATAGCACTGATCTGGGCTGCTGAGTCCAGGCTGGCTCTGTCTGGTCATATAGCCACCTTGGCAGTCCACAGGATAAAGCACAGCCCGAACTCCACCACCCCATAAAATGTTGGCGCATGAAATGTGCGTGTGTCCCTATGCACAAAGAGACTTGGCAGAAGCATGCAAGCCATAGGTGTTCCTAAGATCCAAAGTAAAGTGCTGAAGTGCTGAAGTGCTGGGCGAGTTGGGCTGAGAGTAACTATGATACTGCGATGAGTAGACTGTTTTTTTTAAGAAAGGAAATCTCTCCCATTCATTTTCTAATCATGAAACTGTGCTACAGAGTTTTACAAATCAGGTGTTCTCTCAAGCACACATTCTAGCTATATGGTTATCAGATCTCTCTGAAGATTATAAATGCAAATTCACTTCTAAATACAACTGCTTCTGATGGTATAAAACAAAAGTAAAATTAAGAATTAAAAGCTCATTTTTGAAGAACCTGCACCAATGTTGAAACAGTGAACACCAGTAGGATACAGCTAAGCCAGAACTTAATTTTACACAATTTTTAGGTATGAGTTGAGGTGTGCTGCCTAAGTTTTGTATTTAATTCGTTTTTAAGAAAGAATGACTAACATAATGCACTGGAGGTGATTCCAACTTTGGGCAATGATGAAAAACTGGCAATATCCATTTAATGTTAACCCTACACCCCTAACCAAGCCTGATCCCCTGTTTTCTTCAGACCTCCCCATGCTGTTGCATTTCCTATCCATAATATCCATCTCACTTACAATGTTTTCAACTCCCTGTATTTGTTGTTCACCACTTTCCCACATTCTATCCCTCCCTTCCTTCCATTCTGGCTCTCCAGTGTAGGGCTGTATGCCTTAGTTCCCAGTGTGACTGGCTAATGCCTTGAAATTGGAAAAAGCATGAATTCAAATAAGGTCTTAAAGTTAAATGCAACAGACACGTGTGTTAACTGTTTGCAGCCAGCAGAGCCATTCCCCATGCTCACTCTGCCTTCCTGTGAGTACTGAGGTCAAGAAGTCAGCTGCATTATTTGCATGTTTGCATGCACACTCATAAGTTGGGAGTACACAATTCAGTTTTGATAGGATTCTCTGGGGCAGTAGAGAAAAGAATCTCAGAACAGCAGAATGCAGTAGCATTTATAGTTAATCCCTAGACATGAGATAATTTTTAAACCAATAGCTAAAATGTGGTATTATGAAAAATAATTATCTTTTGGGAGTTAAAATATGCAAGTTAAATGAGATATATGAAATTCAACAAATTGGAAAATCCATATGCATCAAATGCGAGTAGACAGATCCAAAAATAAAAAAAAGAGTTATGGTCTTTGCCCATTAAAATAATGTTTATTAATATAATTGATTTGAATTGAAAAATAGCGGCTTTGATTTGTGCCTGATGGGATATCTATCCTACTTAGCAATCTCAAATGTTCAAAATGGAAACCTGAAAATGTTGGAATGAGCAAAACCAGTTTTTATCAGTCATTATTTTGGAACCACTACTAAAGTTTGTTTAAAAATCAATTTTCTTCAGGCAGGTAGCGATTTTAGTGATACTTTAGATACCTTGGCTTCTAAATAGCCTCTTTGTTCTTGTGCAAGTATCAAAATATTATGAAGAAAAAATGAACAGAACCACTAGGTTCAGATTGCTTAAAAGCAACTGGAGCTTCCATCTGAGAAAATGTTGAGTTGCTCTGGGACTTCCACACATTGAGAATATCATAGCCTATTGAAACCACAGACTAAACTTACCTTCTACCTGGGTATTTCCTCTGAAATAAAACAATTTTAATTAGCAGGCTGTTCAAGGTTATTCAGTTTAAATAAAACGCAAAATAGTCCTTATGGTAGCTATTACAATGTGATGTTATTATTTTAACATCTGCTTTTCTGTCATTTTGAGTTTAAAAATAAAATTGTTTCTTAATCCCTTGAGCTGGCTGTGGGTAGTTATTTTTCGATTTTGGCATTAAAACCCAGTGTTAAATCGTTTCCTGACTCTGTTGCAGATAATTGGTAACCTTGGGCCTCTGGAACTGATCCTCAACACACCCAGTCACCACAGAGTCCACCATGGTGAGTCTGTCCTCATAGAATGGACTTCTGTCTTGTAAAACGTGTAATTTTTCCGGCTGTCTGGAAATCTGTCAACAAACATCTTCCAGGTTATACTTTTTATTTTATTGAACAGTTTTGGAATGATTTCAGAAATGCACTGTATTGAAAGAATTAAATTCCAACTGAATAATTATATTTTGCAGGAATTCTACGTTTGAAACAAGGATTGTATTTGGATCGGGATGTTGTTAACCATATGCCAAAAGCAGGCAGTTTACAAAATTTTCCCATAAATATTTATCCAGATACTCAATTGAATAACAATCATACAAAACATGACAGGGAAATGAATTTAATTGTTTTTAAAGTCTAAAAGCAATTAGCTATTGCCCCAGTGAGATTCATCATTGTACTGGCAATATTTATTACACTGATAATGTGGGGTGTTTAAAAAAATAATTTGTTGAGTAACATTCTACCTTAATTCAGGAATTATATAAATGGGTATGAATTTGGTCTCAATTAAGTAGCTGTTTACCAAAACCTTCAATTCAGCATATCTTACCATTGTTCTGTGTTTCATACTAAGACTTGTACAACTGATGGTAAAACAGTACAAAGTAGTTCCAATTTAAATACTTAACAACTAGTAAGATAATTATTCAATATTACCATGACCAAAGTATCCTCTGCTTCTCCTGTTCATGTATCCAAAATGAATATTTTCTACATTCTTTCACAATATGCACTATGGAGAGTCTGTTTCCCATGGTAGGCCTCCAGTTTGGATATTCATCCATAAAGAACTGTGGAAAACATAATCTGACTTTTCTTTCAAATAAAATTCCGTAAATACTAGCCTGATTTACATGATGAAATTTATATATTGGAATACACGTAAAGAGGTAATGTTCTAAATTGAGTTGTGGAAAAGATATAGTTTTGTATTTTGTTTTTTGATCCAGGCTTTAAAGTAATTATACCATTGTAAAAATATACATTAGGTTAAAATGCAAAGTTTTGGAATACGGTAACATTATCTAACCTAAATGCTGTTAGCTTGATTTGATGCATTAAGAGGAATATTTATATTCCAGTTTACAAACTAGCATGTATTCATAGACTTGCAGGCTCACTTAAAGTAACGCATACCTTCATTCACATGCATATCTGTTGATTCTTCAATGTGTTCACGTGCTTATTCACATTAACACTAATATTAACAGCAGTTATACAAACAGAAAGTGCCGGAGAAACTCAGCAGGTCTGGCAGCATCTGTGGAGAGATGAGTCTCTCCAGCACTTCCTGTTTTTATTTCAGAACTTCAGCGTTTTTAGTGCTTTGTTTTATGAACAGCTGTTAAATTTTAGGGTAGCACAGTTGTTAATACCTCTGAAAACATGACCATGGAGCATAATCCTTTATCATGGGGATGAGAATCAGAAAATTAAATCCCAAATAAACCAAGTTGACCTCCTCTGATTAACTGTATTAGAATAAAAAAATTCTGAAGCTCAATAAGTTCAGCACCCTCCAGGAAAAAGTAGCCTGCTTGATTTGCATGCCATTCATCACCTTAAACTTTCACTTCCTCCGGCACTGATGCACAGCAGCAGCAGTGAGCGTCATCCAAAAAATGTATTGCAGCCACATACCAAGGCTCCTGTGACAACATCTTCCATTTTTTGCAATCTCTATCACCTAGAAAGAGAAGAGCAACATGGTAACACCACCTGCAAGTTCCTCTCCAAGCCATGTGTCATCCTGATTTGCAACTGTATTGCTTTTTATTTACTGTCACTGGGTCAAAAACCTGGAACCCCTTTCCTAACTGCATATCCCTACACTGGAAAGACTGCAGTGGTTCAAGAAGTCAGCTCACCACCACCTTTTCTCAATTAGGGTAATTAGTGTTGTACTTTAAATGTACGTTAAATTGACTTGGCTTATGATGCTCTCATTCCATGACCAAATCTTTTTTTTAAAAATGACAGGATCATTGGACAGAAGGCAAGACCAGTATGGAGTCCAAAGTGAAGCGGGGTGAAATGATGGAAGACAGTTGAATCAGTTACCACTTTTAAGATTATAATCCTGTTGTTATTTTAGATAACCCTTTGAACTAGAGAACTAGGTTTCTACTGGATCCCAGAGACACAACCAGAGGTGTGCAAGAAATTCCCACAGTCGGCCTGTTTGTCTGTTTGCTGGGAGAGTTCCACATGTATCAATTTTCCAGGAAGTCATATCAGGGGTGAAACACAACTTGAGAAAAGAGGTGATCTGCTGGCAACAGATCAGGGGGACATGCAATAGGGATAGCTCTCTGTTTTACAATTTAAGAGTCTGGAAGCCTTGAGCATTTTTAAGTTGCAAAATCTGAAAAGCCTGCACTTTAAAGCATCCTGTTTCTTTTTTCCTTACCTGCATCGGCACCTTCGTCCAGTGCTGAAAATCATGTTATTGTCCCTCTGGCTTCCCAGAGTCCACCTGTCCTCATTTATTCAAAGGTCAATGCATTTTCTGGCCATTGACTAGCCAAACAAATGGGAAAACTGGGCAATGCAGTTCGTAACCCAGCCATGCCTGTTTGAAATTCAAAAATTATCTGGATTCTGGGATCTGAACCCCTTTAAAAATATAGCTCAAAACAAAGAAAAACAGTAATCAGATTAAATTAGTTTAGAAGAAGAGCAGTAACGACCATAGATTAAATCAGGGGATTTAGTTTAGTTTGTGATTGGTTGGACCAAGGGGTTTGTTTCCATGCTGAATGACTCAATGACTGTAGATGGTGGCAGAATAGCATTGCCTTTAGACTGGTCATACAAACCATTTTTTGTGCCAGTTATGACCACCAGAGGAGAGTTTCCCCCTATTCCCATTTATTCCAATTTTGTTGGAGTTTTTTGATTCCACACTCGGTCAATTGTGACCTTAACATCAAGGACAGTTATGTTCACTTTATCTCTGGAAAATGCAATTGGGAGAGATACAGCACAATACATAGTCAAGCAACAGTGTAATGTAGTCACAAATAGTCATGCAAAATCCGACCTCTAAGGATAATGTTTCAGATAATGCCGTCAATACCCCTGGGTATTTCCTGTCCCAGTGGCAGGACAGACCCCGTCGAGGTGGCAGCATAATAGTATACAGTCTGAAGAGGTTGTTCTGGGGGTCCATAATATTTACTCCAGAACCCAAGATGTCTCATAGCATCAGGCCAAACATGGGCATGGAAACCTCCTGCTGATTACCACCTACTGCCCATCTCCCTCAGTTGATAAATCAGTGTTCTTCCATGTTAAACACCACTTAGAGATAGCACAGAGGGTGGAAAAGGTGCAGAATGCACTCTAGATGCAGAGCTTCAATATCCATGCCCAAGAGTGGCTCAGTACTTCCACGTGTGACTGAGTTGGCTGAGCCCTAATGTATATAACTGCTAGATTGGGTCAGTAACAAGTGGTGAGGGAACTCACAAGAGGGAAGAAAAAACTACTTGACCTCATGATCATCAATCTACCTGTTGCAGATATGTACATCCTTTGCGTTATCAATAGGAGTGATTAACGCACAGTCCTGGTGGAGATAAATTTCCTATTTATACTAATGTCTCCTTATTTATTCTATGGTAATAGTATTGTCATTGGCCTGGAGATTGAGAAGTTCATGCTGAAACTGTGTGAACGCGGATGTAAATTCCATGGTAGCGCCTGATGGAATTTAAATTAATGAATAAATCTGAAATATAAAATTAGTCTCTATCACACTGTTATCAATCATCCATCTGGTTCACTAATGGCCTATAGGGAGGGAAATCTGCTATCTTGAACCAACCTGACCGATTCCAGGTTTGGGTGACTGAATGGAGTTTGCATATTCTCCCTGTGTCTGCGTGGGATTCCTCCAGGTGCTGTAGTTTTCTCCCACAATCCAAAGATGCACAGGCTAGGTGGATTGGCCATGCCAAATTGCCCACGGTGTCTAGGGGCGTGCAGGTTCGGTGGACTAGCCATGGTAAATGCAGAGTTACAGAGATAGGGTAAGGGTGTGGGTCTGGGTTGGATATTAATTGGAGGATCAGTGTAGACTTGATGGGCTGAATAGCCTGATTTCATTCTGTAAGGATTCTATGATTTGACAAAAATGGGGTGGATGGAGACCAGATGTGAAGAACTGGGTAGCAGTGGAGAGAGGGATGGGTTACAGCTGAATGGGGATGGAGTCAAGTGAAGAAAGACAACCACTACCTCAGCAGGGAGGATTTTTTTAAAATATGTGCGGGCTATTTAGGAAACTGTCCTTCTTCCCCAGCCCCCCACATCTGTATTTCTTGTAAGGAGAAATGGAGAGTTGTGGTGTAGTCTCGCCTGTCTCTCAGTCTGTGGGATTTTGGTAGCAATGGCTTTGTGGAGTGATGTTTCCTCCACTAAGACCAATGTGAAAAATGAAATGCTGCAATCTGTTGTGGCTTTCCCATTGCTTTTCTTTGTGCACATAAGATGAAACTTGGAGGTAGGTCATGACAGCATCCCAAGGGAGAAATAAAGACATGTCTGGATTTTGGACACGGTCACAAAACTATATTCCATGGATATTTTCCACAATTGTTGAGATTTAAAAGAGAAACAAACCATGATTCAATTTGCATTACTTGATCCCAGGGGGCTGATAAACTCTGCTTCAATCGTTGCTTCCTTGCAAACTCCAGACATTTTATTATTCAGTCTCCTCCCTCCCATGGATAGCATAATTTAGCTGGCAGAAACTCCATACACGTTATGTAGAACTGCCTAGTTCAAGATTTCATGTATCGATTTATATCAGTCTGGATATAGGCTTGGGCTGAACTCTGCTGTCCAGTTGATTTATAGCTATTTAGAAGTATACTGTGATATTTCAGAAGTAATATGTGGAGCAGTTTCGCATTGAAACAATAAGATTTCCAACAAAGAAGCAAGCCATTCATCTCAATGCATTTTGCTCAAGCAATCCCAATCTAATCCTATTG